TTCAACTAAAATACTAGCTTAAACCCATTTCTTTCTATAGACAAGAGAAAGCAAACTTTACGACGCCAAGCAATAATCAAGAAAATGTCGTATCTTCTCTAATAATTGTGGGTAGAATTTAAGACACGACGGTGGGCAGTCATTACTTTTTCTAAAATGAAACTTTCTAAAAATGAAAAACTAGAAAATGGCCTTGGCCATCACAAATGAATATAATTTTATTTTCCTTATATATATTTATACGTATTCATTACATTTATTTTCTATTGATTAGTTCGTATCTATAGAAAGCTCCCAGAGAATCGATAAATGTTTTCAAGTCGATATAAGATGAACATTTTGAAACGAGTAATTTTCTTTCTTTGTTCTTTTTAAACCAATCTCTTGCTGGGCAACATTGGTTTAAGTCAAATATCGATCATAACATCTTGATCGGATTAATTAGAAGCCATGTATCAAAGGTTATGAAACCCAAATAATTTTTTTTTTTTTGCACTCCTCACTAAATTATACTTTTGAGATGCAAACATCGTCATCAGATGTCGATGAGCTGTCATCAGCGAATTAATTTGGTTGACACTTGTCCAGCCGCTTTTAAACCACTTTTCTGACAGTTTATTGGATCAGCGCCGGCGATATTTGCCCGGATGAAATAAACTGAAGTTTATTTTTAATACGAGGTATTTTGCCACCCAGACGGACGGGGGGAGAAAACGTCTAATCTGGAGGCAAGCCAGATGAACATTTCGGATGTGTTTAACTTTCTTTTTTTTTTCTTTTCAAATTTGCGCTGGTAGTCGATAATACTGTTTAGTTGTAGAATGAACAGCCTTTTCAATATTAATATCGGGGCTCAAAGATTATCTTTCCGGGGAAAATTACAATCGATAAAATGTAATTGATTTACATTTTCATAAGCGCTAGACACCATCGATTTTTCGTTCTCAATGTATGCATATATATCCCACATTTTTCATTTACATACGCGATGGTGCTTCTCATTTCTAGCCCCAGCCGAGAAGCCATTCCTAAAAACTTGGTCAGATTTGAAGAAGTGTGTCGGACCGAGAACATTTCAGTGTGCCTTGTATATATACATATGTAGATATAATTAGCCATTGATAGTTTATTACAAGATAAGCCCTTTTAACAAAAGATTCATGATTGGAACAAATCAAACAACCTTTTGATCCATCTATTATCCTCTCTTTTTGTCTGTATCTTCACTACTTTTATTTTTATCTTTTAACCACTTCCAGGTTTCTTTTCTTAGTCTATTCTCTCGTCCTGGGTATGACGATAAACTGCATCCGCGCCCTAGGTAAGACGATAAACTAGCTGCAACAACAAGGCCTCGGATCAGGAGGTTTTGAAGAGCGTGGAACCACCTCTTACTTGCTAGTGTTCCCAGGTCCACCCTGACCCGGGGTGGTAGCACCTGTTAGGGTCCCAGCTATGGGCAAATAGTTAACCCCCAATCTGGGCTGAAAACACCATGAAAATGTAAAAATAGGTCTTAATACCAGAAATACTTTGTAAAAAAATTTTTTTACCAGCAATAAATTTTTGGAAGAAAATTTATTACCAGTAATACTTTTAGAAAAAAAAATATTACCAGCTATACATTTGTGGAAAAAATTTATTACCAAAAATAGATTTTTTGAAGGAAAAATGTTACTAGCAATACATGTTTGAAAAGAAATATTACCAACACTAAAAGTTTTGTTGGCATTAAACAACCCATTGAGGTTGATATGCCGTAAAACAAACCAAACCATTCTCTGTCCCAAATTGCTTGGCACACATACATCATAGCGGCTAATATATATATATATATATATATATATATATATATATATATATATATATATATATATATATATATATATATAACATACATTATACACTTCACGTCTTAAGCATATTGCCAGTGTTCTTGTCATTTTATCTCTCAGATTTCCACCCTATTTTTTATATACTGATTTCTTTCTTTTCCATGGCCTTTTTAATGTTATCACGTACACGAAATATTTGGATGTACAATACACCCTGTGACCAGAGATCATTTTTTCATATTACTATAGATCAGTGTTTCTCAACTTTTTTAAGCAACGGCACACTTAGGAGCAAAGTAAAATATCACGGCATACTTAGTAAAATTTTTAAAGTGTGTACATTTCAATGTTATTAAATAAAACCATTGATTTTAAAAACATACACACACACAAATATGAACTCTCCCCGTAAGTCAAAGACATAACTGAGTTGAACTCTGTCCGAAGACAGAAACACAATTGAGAGACGAAATGTAAATTGTCCTCCCGAAGACAGATACTACACTTTGATCGCCACCTGAATGCCGGAGAGTGAAGAAAAGTGTGTCACTCGAATAAGACTGCCTGTTCCATCAATGGGGTGTTTCTCAACCTTTTTTTAAGCAATGGCACACCTATGAGCAAATGAAAATATCACGGTATACTTAGTAACGTTTTTAAAAGATATACATTTAAATGTTATAAAATAAAACCATAGTACACAAATATGAGCTTACTTTATTTCAATGTTTCTATTCAACTATTTGCGCAGTTTATTTAGTGTAAAACCTATGCCTGGTGTTTTTTGTTGTTTTTTTTTTTTTGTATTTTTTTTGTATTTTTTGTTTTGCAATTTCTTCAATGTTTGGTTTAATGTGCGATAAGCAGACGTGAATTTCTTCTTCAGTTGAGCGTAGTCTTTCCCGCTTCTTATTTTTGATGTTATTTATGGTTGAGAAACCTAATTCGCATAAATAAGAAGTAGAAAACTGCAATAAAACTGATAAAGCCTTTTTGGCTAATGTGGGATATTCCTTTTGTATTGAAATCCAAAATGTATCAATGGGTACCATCAAATGTTTTATTTTGAGCCCTCGATCACAAGAAATGGTGAGCAATTCTTCTTCACATAATTGAAGTCCAATATTAGAAGGAACATTTATAAAGAGATTTCGAATCGAATCATACTTTTCTCTACCCAATTATTCAAATAAAAGAACATTTTTAAAAAGTTAAATTAAAATTAAAAATACTTTAAAAACAATATTAAAACAAAGTATTTAAAATAACATAATCGAAGAATAGTGAAAAGAATTATTTGAACAAAAAGTTTAATACTTTTTCACTTATTCAAATACTAATGCTCGGCACACTTAAAAGGATCACACTTTACACTTGACGTTTGAGAATCACTGCTATAAATTAAATACTCTACAAAACTAATATCATTTATTTTCAAGTAAATATTATAAAAGTTAATCAGCATATTTGTTTTAGCTTCCGTGATGGTGGAATTACAAGTTTTGCTGGTCTCTCGCTCAACTGCAGCCCACACATTATAATCAAGGGTGTTGCAGTCTGGGGAGTTAAGTGGCCAGATATATGGGGTGATGTGATCGTAGAAATTGTCTGACAGTCATCAAAGCCAAAACAAATATGCTGATACGACGTGATTTCTTAGAATATAAGAAAATAAAAATAAAAATGTTTTGTTTTTTTTCAAATTCGTAATCTGGAGTGCTTAATCGATACGGTCAAACCGGTCAGTCGGGCTGGCGTAACCAAGGCGGACCTTGACAGAGCAGGCATTCCGATAGGCCTATGCAACCAGGTTTGACAGATCTCATCGGCCTCAATCTCCTTTGAGGCGCAAGGGTGGTGGGGGTAGGCGCTTCTGGTCAAGTGTGTGAGCTTCTCCATCGCGTAGAGTTATCCACCAAAATCAAATTCCTGCGAATGGCCTCGTCAAACTCTCTTTGATTCACAGACATCTCCGCCAACGCCTCCGATAGGTGGCGGGTGAGAGTCGGATAAGGAGAGAGAGGGGGGGGTGATGACGCTCTAGGCGCTCGTTTGCGAACGGGTGCCGACGACGACGAATCAGAAAGAAATCCAGGTTATCAATTTTAGATTTATTTTTTTTTTTTACATTTCAAAAAATTACATGGTATTATGGGTGAATTAACGCCATGTTATATTTTTTAATTTCGCGCATGCGCTTTGTTCGGTTTTGATTTTATCGACTGCACAGTATAGTAGGGTCAGTTGGGCACCGCCAGAAATTTAGAAACGGTATGCTGTACTACTTGGCATTCGCACCGGAAGTTCCAATACGAATATTTCAGAGTGTTTTGGTGTCAATCTGAGGACAGTGAGAAGGATTAGGAAAGAGTTGGATGAGTCTACTGCTGATTATGAAGGTACGACAGCTTGGAAAACTCACTCTGATCTTTCTGATAAGAAAAAACTGAATTAGTGGATGAGAACCTCAGACTCAACACGGAGACCTACGTCAAGTTCCTTGAGGAGGTATTGATACTCTGAATCAAGGGGATGACTGCTGGAAGACCCTATGTCTTGCAACAGGACTTTGCACCATGCCACACAAACAGGAGAACCCAATTTCTGCAGTCACATCAGCCCTTACATCTGGCCACCTAACTCCCAAGACTACAACCCCACTTGATTATTATGTGTGGGGTGCAGTTCTGCGAGAGACCAGCAAAACTCCTTGTAACACCAACGATGAACTGAAGGAAAAGGATTATGACAGCATTCAAGAACTTAAGCAAGGAGACTGTCTAGATGAGTTGCAGGAGATTCCGAAATAGTCTAGAGGCTTTGGCTGAAGCCATTGCAGTTTTTATTGAATAAATTTACTCTTTAGTATTTCAAGATATTTCCGTGTAATTTTGGTAAATATATCTCTTAAAATGAGATGTCAGTGTTATTTTCATTTTTGCGTAATTTAGAAGACCATTTATCCATCGTACTTTGTATATATATATATATATATATATATATATAGATAGATAGATAGATAGATAGATAGATAGAATGATCTACCCACTGTATATATCGCATTCGTTTTTCGTTCTTTTCCTCATCCCACTATCTCTCTTACTCGCTGTAGTTTTTTTTATCATTTCATCCTAAGCCACTAAGACGCCTGTATGTGTTACTGAGTGTGAAAGAATACCCGCCTTTATTTTCTATTTCTCTCTCTCCCACCACACACTCTCTCTCTCTCTCTCTCTCTCTCTCTCTCTCTCTCTGTGTGTGTGACGATTGCAATGTAGCATTTGTCTTTTTCTTCTAACTATTTTTCTTTATCTCATCTACGATTTTTTTCTGCCTCGTTTAAATGTAAATCCATTTGTCCACCTGCTAATTCACAAAGCCTTTATGTTTAAAAAACAAAATACTACTTCACGCCACCACCAAGTAAACAATGCAGACAAAAAGAGAAATAATCATAACACTGTCACTGTGTTTCTATTGTCATTATAAAATTAAATAGTAAGTCAAAGGGGTGCATTTGATAAGGAACTGTCCACTCTAACGTCCAATAGATGGCCTACTTGACCCAGTGATCCCAAGAGCATTAAGTTCGAAGAGGAAGGACAAGACTGCACGCGACCAACACCCCCCCACCCAAATACCCCAACGGCGGAAGAGGCAAAGATCTATACGATCTAAATGACCAAACCGGCGGAATAGGGTAGCGCCATTGGGGCTGCCATAACCAAACTTCCGACAACCCGATCCAACCAGGTTTGCCAGATCACCCCTGTCTCAATCCCCGAGAGATAGACGTGCTTCCAGCCAAGTGTGTGGGATTCTCCGTCGCACATTGTCCACCAAGATCAAATTCACGCCAATGGCCTCGTCGTACACTCTTTGACTACTCTTCAAGAGTAGGCTGGGTCTTCACGGCCATTTCTGTCACCGCCACAGCAGGGGAGAAATGGGGGGCGGAGAATGACGGTGCTTGGATGCGAGCGGTTGTGCCGTCTACCTTGAGAGGCACTTCGGCTTTTCCCTCACCGGGTGTTGGAGAAATGAACCCATGTAACAATGTTGTACGTGTCCAAAAATACATTATTTTTATTTACTCGGGTAAAAAAAACTACCCCCATGACACTAGCAGATTCATCAACTGATTTTAGTAATTCTGCCAACTAAATGGTTTTTGATTCTTCCTCGGATTTCCAGTTATTCAGCTATCTTCCTAAAATCCTTCTTGACTGTTCCAAGTACTCTAGTAATTTGGGGCACTACTATCACTCGAATATTCAATAATCTTTTCAGTTCTCGATCGAAGTCTTGATTAATTTAATTAGGTTAAAACAAAACAGCATCCATCTTTGGAGCAATCTTTTTTTTTCTTTGTTCACAAAGACTGAATTCAATCTCCTAGCCTGTGTTTGTGTACCCCATTTGCATTCTGAATTCCCATAGAGTTTGACATTTTTAATGCTTAAGGGAAGTTGCTGGATTGTGTATGTACTGATGGCATGCATGTTAAATTTCAGTCGCTTGCATAATCCCAAGAGGGTCACCGTTCCATACCCTATTTTTATTTTCTGGTTCTCCTCCTGAGGATAAGTTCGTTTGTTGTGTATTAGTTAGAAATTCAAAAAGAGATAATCGTCGAACCAAAATCAAATTCCAGTCGTGTTTGTTGCGTTCGCTTTCACGCAAATAACCTTGGGACAGCTATGAGTTCGTCTTTATCCCTCCCAACTAGTATCTCTTGTCATGAGATGAGACTCACTCTAGGAAAATGAAAATTAAATTCAAAAATACTTTGAAGAGGTATAGATAGCATCAGGCTATCTTGCCTTAGGCACATCATTGCTGCCCTGGTTGCAGTACATGTGGGGTTCCTATAGACACTAATGGGTTACAGGATTCGGGTTGTAGCGTGACTCCTCCTAAGTTTATTTGCTGGTTTCACTTTTTATATAATTACCTTTTTCTTTATTTTCTTTTTTTAGTGTTCTTTTTTTTCTTTTTTTCTTTTTTCTTTTTTTTTTCTTTCTCTCTCTCTCTCTCTCTCTCTCTCTCTCTCTCTCTCAGCACAGACGACATTTCCCATTTTGCTATTTTGTTTCGTAGTTCCAAAATACCCTTTTACTGGGCGTCAGTTAACATGGATTCAATCTCTGACTTCAGCTTTCTTATGTGCAGTCAGGATATGTCTGCGATTCCAGTTGCTTGTCTCATGTAATCTCCAAGAAAATATTTGTCTTCTATTCCAGGATTCTCATTTTTCTGGTAAAACATTTTTGGGTAGCGGGTCGTTCCTCTGCAGCTTCAGATTTTTATAATAAGCAGCCCCTCATTAATTTGTCTTGTTTCGTCATCACATTCTTTAATTAGTCGAGGCAACACAATTTTCAATGCTGACAATTCCTATTTTATAACTTCGTATATTCTCTATCAAAATCCAAAATCAGGGAAAGGGTTTTATGTTCTGCCATCAATTTTTTTTCGTTTTTTTTTTTAATCCAAATAACTCAGTTCTTCATATGTAAATTACTCTCGAGTAGTTTATAACACATTTATTTATCATCTCTCAGTTGGGTCTTTGTCTTTGGGCAAAGTGTGCTCAGGGACGGCTCCGTCAAAGGACAGAGTCGCAACTGTGGAAAATTATATTGAGAACTTCCCAAGGCCGCGTTCTCTCATTGCACCAGAGAGAGGCCAGCCCAACCGATGGTTGCGGAGAATCGGGCAATTTTTGTTCCTAGCCCGGGTGTACGAGCTCGGGCTCCCCACATTAAACCGACCTTATGTCACAACCTGACCTTGTAGGAGGTTGAGTAAATACAAACTCAGTTCTTCATTTGTCCCGTTTAGGAAGGTCCCTAAATATATAACTATGAACTACGTGATTTGATAACGAATGTGCTTTCTCGCATCCAAAATGTTATTTGATTTCTGATATAATCTTTTCTATTTTCTTTTGCTTTCCTTTCTGCTTAATTCCATCCTTAATATTAAGAAATATTTATTCCTTTGTCCTGCTTTGGAAGAGTCCGGAATTTCTTACTATAGATACTATACATATGATTCTTCTTCTTTTATGTGCAGTGTCCCATTAGGACATAGGCAATCATGGCTCTCCACGATTTCCTGTCCTTTGTAGTTCTTAATAAATGTTGTTTTTTGTTGTCTCCTCTAAATCCTGTTCCACTGTCCATTTATTCAAGCTCTCTAGGTAGGTTGCGCGTTTTTTTTTTCTCTGTCCTGCTTACTTTCAATCTGTCCTGTGAGTATCAAATTTTCCAAGCCCTCTTTTCTCGTCATGTGTCCTAGAAGTGTCCATTTTGTTTTTTCTAAGGTATAGTATTCTCAGCATCCTTCTGTAGAACCACATCTCTGTTGCACCAGCTCTCTTCTTCGCCTGCGCCGAGATTGTTCAGCGTTCACTGCCATATAAGAGGACTGATATTACGTAATAGCTCAGTACTGTTTTCTTTCAGAGTCTGTCTATATTTCTGAGATGAGGTATTATGTACATTATTTACATTATTCGAACTATTGTCCTCATCTTTGTCGCCATATTTATCACAACGTTTCGGCCGTTCTACGCTCCGGCCTTCTTCAGGTGGTTGGAATGTCGAACTGAACCCTTTATTTCGCTCACTGGGGTAGACTGTTCTAGTTCCACGTGCCATGTTTGATGGATGTCAGCTATCAGTTATCTCCTGTTAATTCCCCTCAAAGTTCTCCACTGCCTTAACCAGGTATTAAACTCACACTCTTTGGGTCCTGTCACTGGATCTAACCAACGCCTTTATCCACTGTGCCATGTGTAAATAATGTACTGTTTTATTTGTTTCTAAGGAAATGTTCCTGTTTCATAATGCTATCCCAATGCGCCTTTGGAGTTCAGTTTCGCACATACCTTATTCTCATTATTTGTCTATATTTGGGAGATCAGTTATTGTAATCATTTATATAATTTACATTGTTCGAACTGTTGTCCTCATCTTCATTGCCATATACACGACGTTTCGGCCGTTGTACGCGCCTGCCTTCTTCAAGTGATTGGAATTTCGAACTGAACCCTTTATTTCGTCCACCGGGGTAGATTGTTCTAGTCCCACGTGACATGCCTCTTCCGGATGTCTCAGTTATTTCCCTTTAACTCAACTCTCCATGTTTTTCTTCACCAAAGCAGTAGCCAGGTATTGAACACAGAAATCTTTGGGTCAGGTCACTTGATCCAACCAACGCTTTTATTCACAGGGCCATGTCCTCTGTTAAAACACTTCCCAAATATTTAATTGTTGTACTTGCTTGATATTGGTAAGCTGCACATTGGGCTATCCCTTTTTCTACCAATCATGTATTCTGTTTTCTTGCTTGATAAAAATCCGATGATTCATCTCCAAAACTTTCCTTGTTCTGCTAAGGTATTCTTTTATACTTTCACTTTCATTTTTGTTTTGTTTAGTCGATGCCATCTTCAATAAACTTCTGGTTTACTTTGGTTTGATTTGTTTTACGGCATATCAACCTCAATGGGTTATTTAATGCCGACAAGATTTTTATTAATGATAATATTTTTTATCTATCTATCTATTTCAGTATATATTGGTTTCTTTTGTTTTATTTTACGGCATATCAACCTCAGTGGGTTATTTAATGCCGACAAGATTTTTTATTGCTGCTAATATTTTTTCCAAAAATGTATTGCTAGAAATATTTTTTCCTCCAAAAATGTAATGCTGGTAATAATTTTTTCTCAAAAATGTTAGTGCTGGTATTAAAACCTATTTTACTCTTTCATAGTATTTTGACCCCAGTCTGGGGTCAACTATTTGCCCATAGCTTGACTCTAACAAGTGCTACCACTCCGGGTCAGGGGGTGAACTTGGGAACATCCAGCAATGAAGAGGTGATTCAACGCTCCTCAAAACCTCCTGATCAGAGGCCTTACTGTTGGAGGTAGTTTATCGTCTTACCCAGGACACGAATGTAGTTTATCGTCTTACCCGGGATGCGGATGTAGTTTATCGTCATACCCAGGACGCAGATGTAGTTAATCGACTCACCCAGGAGGGAATAAATTTCTGTCCAGTGTTCTGGTTATTATCATTCTCGAATGGACACGAGAGAGGGAGAGAAAGTGAATTCAGCTTTGTAAGAAAGTACAAACATCAGGTTTGCATTACTATTAATATTGTTATTTTCACTCGACTAGTTGTTATCAGTATCTGTCTATATTTCTGAGATGAGGTATTATATGTACACTATTTAAGGCCGGAGCGTACAATGGCCGAAACGTTGTGATAAATATGGCAACAAAAATGAGGACAAAAATCCGAATAATATAAATAGTGTAGTTGTTATCAGATAGAATTAAATAAGAAAAAAGTATTTTCAAATTTCTATCCCTGTTCTTAGCAGTATCGTCAACATGGCCGTAGTTTGAAAATTTTCTGTTCGACTCTCTTCATTATCCAATGCCTTTACAGTGTAAAGTAAAGATTACTCTCTGTTCCAAGAGTTATTTCTGTTAACTTTATTTTGATGTTACTTTTTTGTGGAAGTAGAACAAAGTTAAGATTTTCTTCCATTAAATTTTTCTTTACCTCTTACCTCATTTATGGCAGACGTCAATTTAAACTGACTTGTTCACTTTTTAAATATATTGCGACCGTTTTTCTTAATTCCTATTTTCTTGATTTCAGATGAAAATTTGGAAATTTTCCAATAGTTTTCAGTGAAATTCTCACTTTGTAAAATTATAGTTTATATACATAAAAAAGAAACCCTCTGTCTTAATTTATGTTAAGGTAGAGGTAAAAAAATGGCGTCAGTTTCAATTGGCGCGAAGAGACTGAGTTAAACGACTCGAGGTATTGATTAGCAGGATATTTTTAAATCGTTTTACACCAAGTAAAGCGGAAATGGTACTCAGTGGGTTGCAGGAAGTGAAAGTGAAAGAAAATACTGAGAATAGGGAGGACTAAAAAAAAGACAAAAGCTAAACGTGGTTCAATAAGACATATAGGTTAAATTGATGCTTTCCTGTTTCCTTATATTGTAGCCATTTTGCTTAGCCCTTTGAAACCTGGCCATCGCTTTACCGGTGGTAGAGAGAAATGACGTAATGCCCAGCCACCGGTTGAACAGCGGTAGAGAAAAATGACTTAATGCCCAGCCACCGGTTGAACAGTTGGTAAACACTAGTAACTATTTTTATATCTACCGTGAAACATTACATACCAATTATTTGCGAATTTTGACTCAGGAGATCAGTCAGAAGAGTTAAAATTGTTCAGGAACGCCGGGATCAAAGGGTTAAGCTATTAGGATTGAGTAAAATGAGGAACACCTACCTTTCACCTCTATTAGAAAAATGACAGAAGAATTAAACAAGATGGCTTTGCTCGGAAAAAATCTTAGAGACTCAACCTGGATTGTCAGAGAAACAATCAGGAAGTTACATTTTTTGTAACTATTTCTATATATATCGTAAAACATTACATACCAATTATTCACGAATTTTGACTTAGAAGCTCAGTTAGAAGGGTTAAAATTTTTCAGGAACGCAGGGCTCAAAAGGTTAAAGGTCGTATTTTCTCGTTTTCTTTTTTCGGGTGGATATTTGGACATTTTCTAAACTATTTCAGTGAATTTTCACATTCTAGATTTATAGTTTTGTTTTTAATTATAGTTTAGATATTTTTAAAAAATGGCGTCAGTTTAAAGAAGAGGCGATGAGTTAAAAGATCTAATATTTGGTCTCTTCTATTATTCGCCAGATTCTCTCAACGGAGTTGAAATTTCCTCTTCTCAAGGACAATTTTTAGTTTGATCTCATATTCTTTGTTGCTAGGACCGAACTTGAGTTGTTTGCCTATTTTTCAATGAAACACTGTTCTTGTCTGCTTTTGTTTGTGTTTTTGGTTTTTTATTTGTTTGTTTTTGGATTTTATTTTTGCTTTTTGGGGTTTTTTTTTCTATTCTTTGGGGGTCAGTTTAATGTATTATCGTAAGAGTTATAATCTCATCACTTTCTCTCCATTTCGTTGGGTCTTTTTTAATTTTCAACTAGACATAATTAGTTCTCATGCACTTGTTTTGTGTTGCTGTTACTAGTGGTCCCGTTTCTCTTTTCAGATGCTTCCTGCGCAGCCATCATCAGGTTATTTCTTCCGTATTATTATTATTATTATTGTTCTCTCATGGATTCTCTCCATCAAGTACCTT